GGGAAGCCGGAAGATGTGGGAGGGAGTGAAAGAATTACAGTTGAATTGTTTCAGATGAGGTAATTCATACAGCAGACCTTAGTGAGCCATTGAGAAGTGTTGAACGAAGTCCTCATTTGTACTCTAGAGCCGTGTGCTTTGTTTTAGTGTAAAGTGGATGTATAAAATCACTTAGCATGAGTTCAGAGGCTTTACAGGAAGATAGGGTATTTTACTCCTTGCCCCTGCCTCACCTCTGCAAACCACCGCCTCCCCTGCCTAGAATCTCGGAGAAAGGAGGTGGTACTAATTTGGCATCTGAGGTCATTGTAGGCACCCTGCCCTCTCCCACCTTGAGCATCTCATCCTTGGGAACTGTTCTTGCATGTCAAGTGCAAAAAGATGCCACCAGCATTTACCGAGCACATTCTAGGCACAGTGCTGTGTTAACTGGGTGCATGCTAGGCACAGGACAGATGTTACCCCTGCCCACTGGGGAGCTCACAGTGTAGTGAGGGAGACAGGCAGTTACAGTGAAAATACCAGGTGACAAGGGATGGGATTTTCTAAAGAATTTTATGGAGAAAAGCATGATCCATGTGAGCCCAAAGGGTAATTATCCTCACCTCAGACACCTGGCATTCTAAAGTCGAATCAGAAGGAAGCATTGTGTGTACCAGAAAAAAGTGTTATGTGAATCTCCTGATCTCCTGGTCAGGAGAACCCAGGTTTTAGTCTCCCCCCTTCTACTTTTGTGATGTGTCTGGTTTCAATTTCGCACCTATAAAATGGACAAAAAATAATATTTATCATGTTAACTCCTGGGGTGTTTATAGCGTGAGAGAAAGTACATGAAAGAGTGTGAATGTGATGGAACGTTGCACTTTCCCATGACGTTGTAGTTGACTCAGTCATTAATAACTCATTAAGGCACTGTTCCTTCAGCAAACATTTGTCCAGCACCTACTTGAAGATCCTGTGTTAGACCTTGTGTTTGGCTCCATTTCATCCTCTTACATTATCTCATTCTAAGTATCTAGATCTACTTAACATTCATTTCTCATTAAGTTGGGGGCGGGGGGGCGGTTATAGTTGTTAATCTCCTATTTCAGTCCCGGGTCCTATTACCTTATTACCTTCTGTAATTTTTCTGGAGGCATGGGTGGAAGTGACCAGGAGGAGCACAGATGAGAAGCTATTGGCTTAAAAGATCATTTTGTGCGTCATAGGCTAGTTTAACATCTGGGAAAGACAAGTTTAATTATCTTATGGCATTGTTGTCAAATTGTTTATAATTACTTTTAAAACTTGTATTACTTGCTTTACTAGCCAAATGTAACCATCAAATGAAATCTTTTACATTAAAGTAGCAGGAAAGATTTTGTAAGTACTCTATGTGTTTTGTGTTACATATAGTCATTATGAAAGAACTAATTTTCATTATATATAAGAATACTTTGTGAGGGGGACTTTTCTATAGACCAAGTAGAATTTGCTGAAAATCATGAAGAGTAAAGCATGATCCCAAATTATTTCTAGTTTCTGGAATTTCTATTTATTTTATTTTGGTCTCAAGATATTTTATCAACCTTTGGACTGTGGGCATTTCCGTATAATGGGAATACGCAGTAGTTCGACATCATTACTTCACGTCAAGATTTTCCTAGTTTAACTGCTAATAAAAAATAGTATTTGTTGTCCCTCAGGAGTAACATTATGATCCTGCTGTGCTTAAAAAACACAAATAGAGTTTTTAAAAAAAATGATGATCAATAACTCTGACAAGACAAAAGACGTTCGTTAGAATCATGGGATGTTACCAGTAATATCAACCCCAGTTATTTGTAAACTGAGCCATGTGGCTTAAGGAAACAGATTTTTTTCAAACAAATATTGTAAAATTAAAATGGCCATACCTGTTCCATTTAGCTCTTTCAAAAATGTATAAGCTGTCCAGCTGGTGTGGCCCAGGTTGTGGGCCAGATCCCCAGTGAGAGGCATGCAGGAGGCGGCCAATCCATGTTCTCTCTCATCCATGTTTCTCTCTCTCTCCCCCTCCCCCTTCCTCTCTCTAAAATCAATAAAGAGAAAAAAAATGTATCAGCAATCTTGGACTAACAGATGTGCCCCCAACCTGTGATTTTATTTGCACGTGGGGCAGCAGACTCTGGCTCGAGTTAACTTGAGACCAAAAGAACTGGGCCCAAACCTGGCCCTGGAGCGCAGTAGAGGTCGCAGAACCTCTTCCTGGCGGGCGGTCTTTTGCAGCTCGATTCCATTGCTCTCCTGACCCAGTCCTGGCAGGTGCTGAGCATCTCGCATTCGTTTCAAACTGGGCAGAGTCTTTCTTTCCCTTGTTCTGAATGATATTAATGTGGAGTCCAACAATATACCTTCCCAGTTTTCTTGTTTCTACTGACATTCGAAAGGTGGTTATTTCTGCAAAGAAAAAAAAAGTGCCAGTATTTTTGCTCATGTATTTTTCTTCCTCCAACAGCACCGTTATATTTTCCGAAGAAAAGTCTCTTTGAGTAAGGCACCCCTTAACTTCTAATAAAGCATTATTCTCCCCCTTTTTCCCTCTTTTCAAACATTGACTGCTGCCGCCTGCAGAGCCTTCTCTGATTTGAAAGGGCATATCCTTGGGAGGAGGGACAAAAGGTTCAGTGAGAGAGGGTAGCAGCAGGTTTTTGTCCCTACCTGGGACCAGAGGACAAGCAAACCAATGTTCATCATCTACTCAGGTCAGGTGCTTCTTACGCTTCTCCCCATTTTCAGTCTCTCACCATCTGTTTGCCCTCTAAGCCTCGGTGCACTTCCAATTTTACGTAAGCAAGGACCTAGAAGAGCCTGGGCTGTCTACGGAGTCACTTCTTCTTTTGTTTATATTCCAACTCAGTGGTAGGACTCTCGCTTTTTAAACATTTCTTTACCTGAGCCTCGGTTCCTCATCTTGCTGTCTTTCATGCTTTTGTGTATGAAAGTTTTTGATAAATTAAGTTTTTATTCTTGAGAGACCCTGGCCTTGCCCCCACTGCCTTGTAGAAAGTATTTATACACTGAGCCCTTTAGAAGAATTGTTTCTTTTCCCAGCCCTTCTTCAGCTGTGCTGTACCATCAACCAGCTGTTGTCAGCCTTCAGGAGTGACCAAAAACTAGCACCATGTTGGCACATTTCTCCTTCAAGCACCAACCGCCCCTTACCCTGCCCCCCACCGGCAGGTACCAACACACCATTTATTTTTTCTTTATTGATATTAGAAAGAGAAGAAGGGAGAGGGAGAGATAGAAACATCAATGAGAAAGAATATTGATTGGCTGCCTCACGCATGCCCCTCACTGGGGATCAGATCCACAACCTGGGCATGTGCCCTGACCAGGAATCAAACCAGCGACCTCTTAGTGCATGGGTCAACGCTCAATCACTGAGCTACTTCGTCCAGGCCCAACACAGTATTTTAAGAGAGTGTTAGCTGAGCCCAGCCAGTGTGGCTCAGTGGTTGAGCATCACTCCACGCACCAAGAGGTCACTGGTTCGATTCCTGGTCAGGGCACATGCCCGGGTTGTGGGCCAAATCCCCAGTGGGGGGCATGCGGGAGGCGGCCAAGCAATGTTCTCTCTCATCGATGTTTCTATCTCTCCCTCTCCCTTCCTCTCTCTCTAAAATAAATAAATTAAAAAATCAATAAATAAAGAAGTGTTAGCTGATACCATAGACATGCATATTATTAGGGATTCTATGTGGATCAAGTATAAAAGATAATATCTTCTGATACATTTGAAATAAAATAAAACTGATTCCTCTACAGTGTAGAAGATGTTCTTCTGAGGATCTGGACCTCATGTTTTTCTTCCACATTAGTAAGATGAGATACTGAGGTGGTAAGGAAATCTGATAGAGCCAGGATTTCAGTAAAGCACCCTCCATGTGGTCTGGGGAGAACCAAGTGATCTGAAATGGTTCTGCCCAGCAGGTCTGTTTAATTCCATCACCAATTTCACTTCCTAACCCAAAAGTTTGGTTTCAAAAGAATTTATTTCTGAGCAGTGCTTAATTTAAGCATGTGTTAAAATGAGGCCACTATCAGAATCTTTGTCTACTCTTTCCTAAGGCACTACATTGATATCTAAAAACAAAATATCAAATGGCTCTTTTGAATATAAATGAAATTATAAAACTGAAGCATAGCTTTCTCTCTGTCTGAAAATTTTCACCTTCCTGGTCATTTCTGAGCAAAGTTGATTCTGTTTCCCTCCATTATAATTTACATGGTCCTATTGAAATATGTTATAAACACTTCTGTAGAAACAAAAACAGACATGTGTTGACCTGTAGACGACTTTGCTATTTTTTCTGCTGCCTCATCTCTCTCTTTGAAGAAAAAGGCAGTAAAGATGATAATATTACTTGGCTTAATTCATTTTCTTTTGCCTTTCTTATTTATTTAACCCAGAAAGTGCTCTGTGAAGATATCGTTTATGTTTTCATGCAGTCTATGAGAGACTGAGTCTGTGAAAATAATGCCGAAGTGAATCCAGTATTTGAAAAACCAGCCTGCAGGCTTTATGACATCGGTGACCTTAAGGCTTGTTAAATGCACTGAAGGTCAAATGTCCAGGTTTCTTCTAAGAGCTGCAGAGTGAGAGGGTGGGTTTGGACAAAACTTTAAAGCTCTCTCCTGTTGCAGATCCTCAATTACAATGTTCATTTTTATTGCTGTGTCTTTGTGGCATCTTAATCTATTCTAATCGTGTTAATATGCAGCTACAACTTGATAAGAGAAGATTGGCATTTGCCTGAGAGATGGTTTTGTGAAGACTTGATTGGTCTGGAAGAGAAGTTTAGTAGCAGATGGATTAGGTCATGGAGAGGGGCTTCTCTTTCTTTTCTCTTTTCTTAAAGTATAATTTTAAAACAATGCATTCCCAGGTTACCTATGGAGGCCTGAATAATGCTCTTGCTAAAATGGAGAAATCAAATTCTCTCTTTAATTTCTGTGGTTTTATCATTTATTTTTAGGTACCAAAGGAAGAAATAAAGGAGAATTTACAAATCTTCAAGGGGTAGCCGCATCTACAAGTGGGAAGATATTAATTGCAGACAGTAACAACCAGTGTGTGCAGGTATGGCCCCTAATAGTATACGTCTAACCATTGGTGGTGGTAAAACAGGGACAGTTGTATGTTTTCCTACTTAAGACTTGAGGTACATTATACAAGGAGAAACTTAGAATGTGCGCACAAATTTTTCTTCAAATAAAACTTGCAAGTTCTGACCTGAAGTGCAGATGACAAAATTTCTGGCCTGTTTCTTATTCATTTTATTTTATTTTATTTTTTGTTAATCCTCACCCAAGGATATTTGTCCATTGATTTTTAGATAGAGTGGAAGAGGGGGAGGGAGAGAGAGAGAAAGAGAGACATTGATGTGAGAGAGGCTCAAACCCAAAACCCAGGTAGGTGCCCTTGACCAGGAATCGAATCTACCACCCCTTGGTCTGCAGGCCAACACTCTAACCGCTGAGCAAAACCAGCCGGGGCACTGACCTGTTTCTTTTACGCTCATTTTTGTGCGAGTTCTCATTCCAACAAATACCATTTGTTTTACAGATATTTTCCAATGATGGCCAGTTCAAAAGTCGTTTTGGCATCCGTGGACGCTCTCCCGGGCAGCTGCAGCGACCCACGGGGGTAGCTGTGCATCCCAGTGGGGACATAATAATTGCAGACTACGATAATAAGTGGGTTAGCATTTTCTCTTCAGATGGGAAGTTCAAGGTAAGATTAACTACTGATTGACCACTAAACAGTAGAGAGAAGGAATGACAAATACAAAATGAAATTGTCTTTTTCCCTTTTTGAGATCCAGTAAGATATTCCACAATTCTTCATATACAAGGACATCTTGACAGTGTTAAATCTAAGTTCTATGAAGTGAGAGTAACAATGATACTGTCATAAATCTACTCATATAGCCTGCGTGTGGCTTCATTTTATAAAGCAATTAGGTGACCCAGTCAGTTCTTATTTATACCACCAGATTTAAGGGTTACTAAGAGGCAATTTATATTTTCCAAATGACCCTACAGGTTGGCATTTATGACGTGCCCTCTACTTTGTCAGACCTGTGAAAGGTATATGAGAGAAAGAGAATCGTAAGACACAGTCTCTACCTTTTAAGAATATACGAGCCCCTTGAGAAAAAAAGACTAACACGCCAAAAATGACAGAAAACAATTCACGTCAGCCTTTATTCCATCATACATTGTTTGGTACAATCTCAAAGTAGACTGTTGAAGTATATAATATAAGAATTGGAAAAAAAAAGAAAATGGGGGCCGGCTTCATGGAGAAAATGCAAACAGAGCTACATGTCGAGGGACCCCATCATCCGACATATTTGCTGCCACCCCATCATCATCTTCTGTCTCTTCAGCGAGCCACCCAAGAGTAGAGAGCTCTCTGTTGATAACAGACATCTCTCCCTAAGGTGCCATCAAAGAATATTATCATCTGGCCCATTTTCTCCACTGTTCACGAGAAGGTTATGAGACACTTTGTTGAAGGTGTTTTTGAAAGCCATGTGCACTATGCCTTCTGGATCGCTCCATCCAACCTTCTAGAGGCTTCTTTTTCCGTTGACAACGTGAACTTTAACTCAGACAGATCAGCCCATTGGAATTGCAGTTCTGTGGCTTATTAACTGTGGCCTTTGGCAAATTATATAACTTCCTCAAGCCTTGATAGCCTCGTATTTCAATTTAGAATTTGGGATTTGGGTAAGGATTAAATGAGATTTTATTTCTGGATCTTATATGTGGCTCGAACGAAATAGGCATCAAAGAAATGTTCTTTTCCAATGTCCTTGGTAACCCTGTCCACAAAAATGAAGTCTGTTCAGTTAGCTGTGATTTGGGCTTCATGACCTCATGCCAGTTCCTGTGGCCATACATTCCTTGTCTGAACGTTCAGGGATAAAGCTCTTCACAGTCCACCTTGAACCCTGAAGACTGCATGATGTTCACTGGAGGAATTATAGTTTCCTTTTTAAAGTTGTTAGATCACTACAGTCATAGCATTTTTATTAAATATTATGTAATTATTTATCTTCAGATCGGAGCCTCTGTTTTGTGTGGGGCAACATCTTTTCAACCTAGGAAAATTAAAAGCTATTGTTTTTAATTCTACCACATTGCACACAATTCTTCAATTGCCCTTGATTTTTTTGCCTCACTAGTAATGTAATGGCTTCATGGGATGGCCATATACACAGAAAAATCTCTTGCCTTTCTGTATCTCTAACTTTCTCCCCTTCTTTTGTGTTTTCATAATTGTATCTATAGTATACCATACCCAAATATGACAACTTTAATATCAATAGAATAGAAATTATTCAGTGACCTCTTGAAAATGTCTATCTAGTTTGGAGATAACCCATAGTTCTTGTTTCATACTCTAGCAAAACCATGACCTGTCTTTTTAAATTCAGAAACAAATACACTAAGAAAGGTATTGAAACAGGAGTTTTATATCCATTCTATTGAAATATTTTATGCCTAATATAGTAAAACTTATTGAAGTAGAAGACAGAAGGGTTTCCTGAATTAAGCATTTTTCATTCAGTGGTTTAATATTTTATGTGTAATAGATACTCTTCCTGGAAGAACTGGATTCACATGGGTGGAGTACTATTGATAATAATTAGAATAAACACTGAAGAACACACATGCTCCCCAGAGGATTGGGGGGATGGGCATGGTGTCATTTCAATATGCTACCCCCCACCCTTCTTTTGTTTACGCTAGATGTTGATCAAAACCCAAAGGGTAGAAGGATAGCAAGTGGAAACCCTTTAGTACTATAATGGGAGTTCATCCAAATGTGATGTCCATGACCATATACTGAGAAAAACTTATTTTCTTCTTTGATGGGATTCAGTCAAATTAAACATGTGCTCACAAGGACAAACCTTGACCACAAATGTGGATTCTTTGCATTTATTCCTAGTAGTTCTAGGGATATAACATCTAATAACCTTTTCTTTCTTTTCTCACTAACTTCTTTGCCCTAATATTCATTCCATTCTGCCTCTATTCTTTTTCCTTTCCATCTTCCCTCCTTCTGGCTTATGTCTTCCGGTCCATCTAGGATCCTTTTCTGACTCCAAACCAGAGACAGAGGCCCCTGTCATAGGGAATCAGAAGGTGCTACTTTGGGTTTTTTTTTTTTTTAAACTTATCTTTATTGTTGAATGTATTACAGATGTTCCTCATTTTTCCCCCATTGACCTTCTCCTCCCCTCCCCACCTCCTGCCTTTCCCCACACTGTGGTCTGTGTCCATTGGTTATGCATATAAGTTCTTTGGTTTATTTCTTCCCACCCCCCAACCCCCTTCCCTTTCAGGTTTGTCAGTCTAGCAACCAATTTGTACTTCTTAATCCCTTCACCTCTTTTACCCATTCCCCCAAACCCCCTCCCATCTGGCAACCAACAGAATGTTTCTGCTCTGCCTGTTCATTTAGTTTGTAGATTCCATTGTCGATAGATATATCGACTACCATTTTGTTTGTTTATATTTTGTATCTTTTCTTCAAAAAATCCTTCAACATTTCATATAATAATGGTTTGGTGGTGATGAACTCCTTTAGCCCTTCCTTATCTGGGAAACTCTTTATATGGCCACCAATTCTAAATGACGGCTTTGCAGGATAGAGTAATCTTGGTCGTAGGTTCTTGCTTTTCATCACTCTGAATATTTCTTGCCACTCCCTTCTGGCCTGCGAAATTTCTTTTGAGAAATCAACTGACAGTCTTATGGGAACTCCCTTGTAGGTAACTAACTGCTTTTCTCTTGCTGCTTTTAAGATTCTCTCTTTGTCTTGAACCTTTTGCATTTTGATGATGATGTGTCTTGGTGTGGGCCTCCTGGGGTTCATCTTGTTTGGGACTCTCTTTGCTTCCTGGACTTGTATGTCTGTTTCCTTCACCAAGTTAGGGAAGTTTTCTGCCATTATTGTTTCAAATAGGTTTTCGATTTCTTGTTCTCTCTTTTCTCCTCTGGCACCCCCAGGATGCGAATGTTGGCACGCTTGAAGTTGTCCCAGAGGCTCCTTACACTATCCTCATTTTTTTGGATTCTTTTTTCTGTTCTGATTGGGTGTTTTTTACTTCCTTATATTCCAAATCGATGGTTTGCTTCTTGGCTTTACCTACTCTACTAATGAGTCTGTGTAAATTATTCTTCATTTCAGTTTGTGCCTCCTTCATTTCTGACTGTGCATCCTTCATTTCTGACTGGTCCTTTTTTATGCTCTTGAGGCCCTCACTAAGTTCACTGAGGTTCTCACTAAGTTCATTGAGCATCCTTATAAGCAGCATTTTGAACTCTGCATCTGTTAGGTTGCTTATCTCCATTTCGCTTAGTTCTTTTCCTGGACTTTTGTTCTGTTCTTACATTTGGGACCTGTTTCTTTGTCTCCTCATTTTGGCTGCCTCCATGTGTTTGTTTCTATGTATTACTTAACAAGAGGTATGGGGCTAGCTGAGACCAGATGCTGCTTGTTTGAAAGAATTTAGAAAAACCTGAAGCAGGATTTAAGACAGGCTAATCCTATGGTAAAGCAACTGGCAACAGCTTGGGTGGGCCTGAAAGTTGTGTGGGGCGGGGCCTCAGGGATTCGCCAGGGCGGGACTACCAGTATGAGCAGATATGGCGGCTGTGTACCGCCCCAGGGAAGGGCTCACCAAAGAAACAAAAGCCTCTGACAGCACATCTATCCAGGAGAAAGCTCCCTATCCAGCCCTCGTTCCAGTGTCTTCCCTGTATGTCTCTGGTGCCCCTCGAGCTGCCTCCCCTCCGAGCTTAGAGGGAGAGAGTCCGATAAGTCCGTGTGCGGGCCCTTTAAGGAGCTGCCTGGGGCTCCAGCTGCCTCAGCTTCCCTGAGCCTCAGTTCCCGCTGGTTTTTCCAGCCAGAAGTTATGGGGATTCTCTTCCTGGCACTGGAACCCTGAGCGGGGCGCCTGGTGTGGGACGGGGACCCCTCAGTCCTCAGGGAGGACCTTCCCAGCCGAGGTGTCCTCCTGATTTTTTCCGCCACACGTGGGTGTGGGACCAGCCCGTCCACCTCCGCCCCTCCTGCCAGTCTGCATGCGGCTGCTGCTTTAATTCCGTAGTTGTAGGACTTCCATTCAGCTGGATTTCAGGCGATTCTGAATGATGGTTGTTCTGTAGTTTAGTTGTAACTTTGATGTGGTTGTGGGAGGACGTGATTCCGCGTTTACCTACCCGCCGTCTTGACCGGAAGTCTGGGTTTTCTTTTCTCTCCTTTTTTTTAAGTGATGAAAATGAGCCCTGGCCAGTTTGGTTCAGCGGTTAGAGCGTCGGCCTGCGGTCCGGAGAGACCCGGGTTCGGTTCCCGCTAAGGGCACGTACCTTGGTTGCAGTTTGTCCCCAGCCCTGGTTGGTCGTGTGGGTGGCAACCACTCGATGTGTTGCTTTCACGTCGATGTTTCTCTGTCTCTCTCTCTCTCTCCCTCTCACTCTATCTGAACAAAATATCGAAAAATGTCCTCAGGTGAGGATAAAAAAAAAGAAAATGAGCCCTGGCCAGTTTGGCTCAGCGGTTAGAGCGTTGGCCTGCGGTCCAGAGAGACCCGGGTTTGGTTCCCACTAAGGGCACGTACCTCGGTTGCAGTTTGTCCCCGGCCCTGGTTGGGTCGTGCGGGTGGCAGCCACTCGATGTGTCCCTTTCACGTCAATGTTTCTCTCTTCCTCTCCCTCCCACCCTATCTGAACAAAAAATAAAAAAATGTCCTCAGGTGAGGATAAAAAAAAAAAAAGGAAAGAAAATGAAGGCCACCATATTCTAAAATATCTCATCTCTTCCCTCTTCAATTTAATGACCCATTTGTTGAGCTAAATACTTTAACAGTTCCAGAGCCAGGTTCTAAAATATCTTCGCTTACAATTCTGTTTAAGGTGGCAGACATATTGTCAGGTTAAAAGCTATAATTCTGATTTCACTTGGTAGAAGCTGATGCACCTGAACTGGGATAGAAGGGATGTGGACGGAAAGGAGGTTTTGGTTCAACATTTGTTTTCTTGTAGACCTGCATTAACTAGTTCTTAACTACATGATAGAATGGTAGTAATTCTTTATTTTCTGTTTTTAAGCACGATAATTATACTCCAGTTGATATTATTATATGGCTAAGTCATTCCAAGTAACAACTAGTGTTCATAATGTTAGGTACCATTAATATTCTTGTTTTAATCATCAGAGTCTTCTCTCTTTTGATCCTGACTGATGTATCTTCTATTCAGACATGAAAGAAAGAACACAATTTCTTTGTAAGCTATTATGTTATAGTCTCTTTGGTCTTTGTGCTACATTCAGAATCAGAATCAAATTTATATGACAGATTCCCTAGCCAGAATGCCATTGTTTCTTCCTAAGTAAATGTGTATCTTTGTTCTAAAGAGATAAAATTGGAATCAATCATTTGTAAACTTCCAAGAATAAAAGATTATACAAAGTTTGAACCGCGGCTGTGGGAAAATCCCCATCCTTCTCTTCATACTCTTTTTTTTGCATGTCTTCCTGTCTCTGTTGGGAAAGGAGTTGATGCTGTGGGTCAGGTATGATACCAGCTGAGTAGGGTGAGGGAGAAGGAGATCATCTGTGTGCCATATGCTGTGGTTGACATTGTCCTTTATCCTTCGGAATCTGCGAGACCCAGGAGATAAATAGCACAATTGCCATTTTACAGATGAGAAAACTGAGGTTCAGACTGATGAAAGAATGAATGAATTTTGCTCTGAAATTTTGATCCTGGTTAACTGGATGAATTGTGATGTCATAAGAGGAATTCGGAAATCAGGAGGTGCTAGTTTGGGTTTTCTTTTTTTGTTTTGTTTTGTTTTTTTAATCCTCCTCTGAGGACAGATAGAGCAGGAGGGAGACAGGGAGGGAGAGAGAGAGAGAAACATGGATGTAAGAGAGACACATCGAGTGGTTGCCACTCACACAACCCCAACCGGGGCTGGGGATGAACTGCAACCCAGGTACGTGCTCTTGGTAGGAACCGAACCCAGGACTCTCTGGTCCACGGGCCGATGCTCTAACCGCTGAGCCAAACTGGCCAGGGCTCTTTTTGGTTTTTTAATGGTGTAAACGAAGGACATAAATTTGGTTTGACATTGGTTGAGATTAAGGTGAAACCTATAAAATATGCCATGACCAAAGATATGGATTTGAGAATCTTATATATAAAGGTGAAAGTTGATTCTGTAGCATAAATGAGATCTTGGAAGTATAGAGTTGCATTGTCCAATATGGTAGCTACTAACCACATATTTATACTGAGTTCTTGAAATGGGGCTGTCTGAATTGAGATGTGCTGTGAGTATAAAATCCATACTGGATTTCAAAGACTTAGTCCCCTCAAAAGAATGTAAAATATCTCATTAATAATTTTTATATTGATTACATGTTGAAATGATCACTTTTGGATATATTGGGTTAAATGACATATATAATTCAAATTAATTTTCTCTTTTTCTTTTATTTACTTTTTATTTATTTATTTAAAATGTTTCTTTTCTTTATTGATTTTAGAGAGAGAGGGGAAGGGAGAGGGAGAGATAGAAACATCAATGAGAGAGAACATCAATTGGCTGCCTCCTGCATGCCCCCCACTGGGGATTTGGCCCACAACTTTGGGCATATGCCATGGCTGGGAACTGAACCGGTGACCTCTTGGTGCATGGGTCAATGTTCAACCACTGAGCCACACCAGCCGGGCTTCTTTTTATATTTTTGATGTGGCTACTGGAAGACTTTAAGTTACATGTGTAGTCATGTTATATTTCTATCAGACAGCACCATTTTTTTCTCTAGAGAGAGAAAAATAAGAGGACTAAACCAGCAACTTTGGGAATGAAACTTTTCAGGAGTTAAAAATTTAATTTGTAAAGTCTTGTTTGCAAATAAATTTTTCAAGTCTATAGATGAGTATAAAATGAAAAGTTAGAGTTTCTCTTAAATATCTCTTTCCAAGATATAAATACTATTTGTTTTTTTAGTTTCTCCTCCAGGAGTATGCATACATGTACATTTAATAAAAGTGGGCTCAGATTATACTCACTGTTCTGTATGTTGCTTTATAATATATCTTGGATATCTTTCATAAAAACACATAGAGATTTACTTTGCTTTACTTTGCTCTGACATTTTAAGCCTGGGCTCCAGAGACACCTGTGTTTCTTGCTGTCCCGTCATTTACCAGGCATGATTTCTGGCTGCTCCCTCGCCTTGGGTGCTCTTTCTCCTTCCTTGTCTGTAGTGACCGTCTCATCAGGTTGTTTCGCCTTCTGAGGTGGCCCATTTGAATGCTCCCAAATCTGCCAAATCGAACACTCAGTACCAGGCACTTTAGACATGTTTGTCTCTGCAGTGCCACTGAGACATCTTCGAGGATAGGGACAGTGTCTTATTGTCTTTGTCTACCAAGTGACACATAGTGGGTGCTCAGTCAGTGTGTGTAGAATTAGTAAATAAATGGGGAAATGAGTAAAGTACTTTATAAACACCCTAGAAAATGGAGCTATAAAAGTAAAGGTATAAGACATGGATTGAATCACAAACAGGTATCTATGTACACAATAGTCTCCTCAGAAAAATGAATAAGATTTAAAATGTGTGTGGTATATGTTTGATAGAAATCTAACGCGTTCCTCCCATTTAAAAACTCTGCGAAAACTGGAACCATTTAATCATCATTTTACCCTATAATAAATGCGAGAGTCTTAAAATGAATACATCAAGGAAAAATTTGTTGAGTACCTGTTAGACACCAAGAAGTACACTAGGCTCTGGGTAGATGTGCTGGATGAACAGACATGACCCCTGCCTGTGTGGAACTCAATTCTACTAAAGTTTAATGGTGGATACCTGGCTGTTTCAATGTGAATTGTGATATAAAGTAATGACAGTGATTGCTTCCCTTTTATAGCTGCTTAATTTGTGCTATGTTGTATACTAATCACTTTATCTACATTGTTTTCCTTTAATACATATTCCAAAATACCACTGGAAGTTATTGAGGTCACTTTTTTTTTTTTTTTAAATATGTTTTTATTGATTTTTAGAAAGACTGGAAGGGAGAGGGAGAGATCAAAACATTGATGAAAGAGCCCCACCGGTGTGGTTTAGTGGTTGAGCATTGACCCATGCACCAAGAGGTTGGCAGTTCGATTCCCAGTCAGGACACATGCCCAGGTTGTAGGCCTGATCCCCAGTGGGGGACATGTAGGAGGCGGACAATCTATGTTCTCTCTCATCAACGTTTCTATCTCTCTCTCCCTCTTCTTTCTCTCTCTCTAAAATCAATAAAGAAAAAAGAAAGAAACATTGATCAGCTGCCTCCTGCACACCCCCTACTGGGAATGGAGCCTGCAACCTGGGCATGTGCTCTGACTGGGATTCAAACCAGTGACCTCTTGGTGCATGGGACTGATGCTCAGCCAACTGAGCCACACCAGCCAGGCTATTGAGGTCACTTTTTGACATGTTTTAATATATAAAGAATCTGACATTTAAAGAAATTAAATGCATTTGTTCTATACCAGCTGTGTCCAAAGCAGGCGACAGAGAACAGTCTCCCTACTGGTAATCTAGGGATTTTTTTTGCTCTACCACCTTGCCTCTTTAGAAGGGAAGTGGGACCCCAGTGAAGGGGATTTCAGAACATTTTTGGTGGGGATTCCTTTTAAAAAAAAATAAGTATTTCAAATTAATATCAATAGCAGGTAACGAATGTGACAAAGATAATTTTCCAGGACAGAGATCATTGAGACATGAGTCACTGTGCCCCCTGTTTAAACCTTCAAGTCAATGTTTACTAAGAAAAATGTCTGTCTTCGTGTTCTGTGTCGTGTTGTAAACTTCACCGCTGTGCTTGTTTCTAACAGACAAAAATCGGATCAGGAAAGTTGATGGGGCCCAAAGGAGTTTCTGTGGATCGCAACGGCCACATCATTGTGGTGGACAACAAGGCGTGCTGCGTGTTTATCTTCCAGCCAAACGGGAAAATAGTCACCAGGTTTGGTAGCCGAGGAAATGGGGACAGGCAGTTTGCAGGTACACTTGATGGTAATACGTAAAGCCCCTTTTTTATGCTGCTTCTGCTCACATTTGCATGATGTCGGAGCATGTTGAAGACGCCTCACCCCCAGTATGTTTGCTGGCTTTGGGAAACATACTGGGGATGCAATCTAAGCAAAAAGCATGGTTCCCTGCTTCTCAATGACTCCCCCGGAAGTAAGTTAAACTGCCACCCATGTGCGGTTTTTATTGGTGGTACTTCACCACTCAGATGTCTAATCTTTGAATATTAATAGTAAATAACATATAAATTTTAAAATACAGTATTTTAAGATAATAATGTTTGAGGAACAATGGAGTAACTTTCGTTTCCACCTAGCTGTATGTTTATTTAAAGAGCCTCTGAAAGGGGATTTTTCCATCTTTATAGGTGATTATAAGAGAGTGTTCAGAGTATTTGCCGAGTCCAGGAGGGGCAGTCTCTTTTATTTCTCTTCTTGATGCACCACTTTGTAGTCACAAGCTTACTTAGTTTTTCACACTTGCGAGAAGCTGAAAGCAGTTTACTAAATTTCCTCCTTAAAAGGATGTTTTTGGCAACTTAACTTTCATTTGCATAATCTTTCTTTGTGCTTTGTCTCTAGTTCTGCCAGGTTCTGAATGTCACCCAAAATTATAGAGTATGGGTTTTCTGCTCTACTTTTTAAAAAATCTTATATATTGGAGTCCCTTTTTTTTTCTTTCCAATGCTGAGAGTTACCATGTCTTTCCTCAGTGGAAACCGAGGACCCTAAAATGACTAACACACACTCAGGCAAGCTGGCTGATGTGACGTTCAGATGGTGGTTTGGAGAATGAAGTCTGATGCTTATTGCTCATCCTTCTTCATTAGGGCTGCTGCAACTCTTAGCTGGATCTGGAAGAAGTCACAGTAGACAGTCACAGGTGTAGAATGTTAGAGATTACGTGTTATCTGGAGCCAGAGGTCTGGCTGAACGATCTTTCAAGAACTGAGGCTAGTCTTCTTGGTTCTTTCTTAAATAACTAAGTAACATATTAAGTTTTGTAACTGCTATGTTGTAATCATTTTTGTTGTTATGGTCATCTCATATTTTTTTCTATCTTTATTTCAGGTCCCCATTTTGCAGCTGTAAATAGCAATAATGAAATTATTGTTACAGATTTCCACAATCATTCTGTCAAGGTACTATAACCACACCAATTGTTGTTAACTTTTAACCGCTTTTGCTGAGAAATCCATCTGGGAGAAAATAACTCTCATACACATAGAACCTAAAGGAGTTAAGCTAAAAGAGCAGATTTTGCTTCTCCTTAAAGATGCAGGTTTTAATTTGGACATACATACTTTGGAGAATCAGAAAATCGAACAAAATGTGTGGCAATAAGTTTCCTAATTTGAAAGTGTGTACATGGAGGCGACCTGAAAATTAAATTATAAAAGCAATTGCTTGAACTTTGGGAGGCAGAACTTTCTGAAACTTAATATTTCGCGACTATTCAATAATTAAAACAAGATCATTTTGTTAATTTTCTGCATCATAAGTCCTTTTAGACAAAATTAGATGTTAGAACTCTGCTACAACAGAAGATTTGGGGAGGGAAGTAGCCCTAGCATACACTCATATAGCACATTGTATACTTCTTAGAATGCCTTCACACAACTGGTGTTCCTAAGAAAACAATGCCCACCCCTGTTCCCCAGGTAGTGTCGTACATCTTTCTTATTAGGGATAGGGGGAAGAAAGATTTGATCTTTGTTATGAGCAAATCAGAAAATAATAAAGTGGTTTAAAACAAATTTCTCTTTTACGAGAATGAGAAAATGTTTAGTAACATTCTAGACCAGGTGTGGTGCGTATCCCATGGAGGTATGCCAGGTGATCATGGGCAGTGCCCTGGCAGGTGTTTTTATTTTAAGAGTCAATTATTTATTTTAAGGGTTTCCTTCTGTTTACATCAAGTGATACTGGTTTGTACTTATAGAAGCAATGGAAAGTTGTCCTTGTAAGTAAATTCATTTACATTTTTTACAGTTAGGAATTTTAGAGGAAGGATAATGAACAGCGTCAGTGGTACACTAGTGACTGAGGACAACCATTGAGCAACCAGCATTAAACACGATTTGTCAGTGTCGGTCACTGGAATAGCTAAAGAGGATTTAACGCCCATGGGTGCACTCTGCCGTGCCCTTCACTGCTCCATTTCCCCAGCCCATTCTAGAAGATTTCTTTAACCCGAGTAAATGGAAAAGCCTTAAGCTTTTTCGGTGGTTATGCCAAGTCGCTGTGCAGAGGAGAGCACAGTGGCGGTGGGGCAGGATGAAGGCAAAGGATGCCCACCATGCTAACGTCCAAGGCTGCCTTCTGCCATGTCGTCTCTCCAGAGCTGCCACCACAGTGGTAGAACTCCATCCTCACTGCCCCCACCTCCCTCAATGCCAGTGAGCCGCAGATTCTCCCCTCTATGGGGCACGTCTTAACAAAGAAAGGGAAACAGTGGGAAAAATCAGTAGCAGAGGAGGAGGGTAACTGAGAGCAAAGAGGCAGCAGGGACTGGGCTTGTGTCCTCCCTCCTAGGGGGCTATCCAGGTCGGTCCTGTGCAATGAGCATAACAAAAGATGATGTGTAGGACTTAAGGCAAAGATCAGAGAATGATAAATTGAGTCCTTACCAGCATGAAAATACTCCCATTGGTCTTTAAAAATAGAATTTTTAGACAATCAAAATAGATCCAGAGACCTAGAAGCAGGGAACAGACTGACAAACCTCAGAGGGAAGGGGATGGGGAGGAGGGGTGGGAAGAGATAAACCTAAGAACTTATATGCATATATGCACAGCCAGTGGATACAGACAATAGTGTGGGGAAGGCAGGAGGGGGAGGTGTGGGAGTGGGGAAGAGGGGGCGGTCAATGGGGGAAAAAAGGAACATTTGTAATACTTTCAACAATAAAGATAAATAAATAAGTAAATAAATAAAACAAAAAAAGTTTCACCAATAATAAAAACAACAACAACAACACAATGTGTTATGTGAAAGGAGAGATTTTCACCACATGGTCTCTTAGTAAAAGCTGGTTCTTGTCTGTATCCTTTGCAAAGAACCAAAGAGGTCACTTGCTTCCTTGGCAAGTAAGTGATTAATTCAGAAAGTGGTCAGAACTCTTTTCCTTTGTCTGAAAGTTGAGCCTTCAGAGGTGGAAGTGTCTCACTTTCCTAATTTGGGTAACCCTTGGAGTCCTTACATCTTTCCTGATCACAGAAATGGCACAAAGAGAATCTCTCAAGGGTCCTGAGATCATCCTCAAGTTAGATCTCAGCTCAGATGTAGTGAATTCCCCCTGGTCCACACGATCCAGGAACCCTTACTCTCACGGTGCCTTGTCTGTAATACTTTTGGATTGTTAACGAATATTTCCACACTTGTAGGCTGGAGGCATTTCAAAACCATTATCATCTGAACCATCAAGATAAAATTATGTTTACAGTAGTCTTATCATTAAACGCATATTAATACCTTCAAAATCAGTAATGTGTATTTGAGACACATACACTAACACTCTAGTAATAAGAATGTTCAATTAACTGCAACAACCCATTGCTTGCCCATATCAGATTAGAGAATTTGCTTTAGAGTTCCGTTTCTGTCCTCCTTCCTTCTCTCAGTAGCCTTAGGGTCATATAAACTCTCTATTTTAGTTAAAATATATTCTCAAAAAAAAAAAAAAATATATATATATAAGCCCTTATGTCTTATCTGCTGTACTCTCTCTCGCTCTCCCCCTCCCCCCGCTCTCTCTCTCTCTCTCTCTCTCTCTCTCTCTCTCTCACGTACACAGTCAATCAATTCCCCCTGTTATAATTGTGAAATCCAGCCTCCTCTTTCTTGTTATGTTGACTTAGTAAAGTGGTAATAAATTCTGAGCATCTGGCCTAACAAAAAGCCCCTACTTTCTGACCCAACTTTGAATCATCGTCCACCCTATTGGAAATACAATGCTTGTTCTTGAAATTTAACCATTTATTTAAAGGCAGAAAGAATAATATTGTTGATTATAGCTCTACTTTCTCATACTACCTTATATTTGTATATATTTTGTAATTTATAATGGAAGTATTTCACACATAAGTATTCAATAACCTGATAACAACCAGAAAAAAACAACTGATTTAACAAATGAGAAATTGACAAATTGGGAAACCACAATTGTTATAAGTAACCTGCTCAGATAGATATTTTTAAATCCATAATGTTGGCTCAACTACTCTTATTTAAAATAGAGTAATTGAAAAATATGTATACAGGTGTTTAATCAGGAAGGAGAGTTCATGCTGAAGTTTGGTTCAAATGGAGAAGGAAATGGGCAGTTTAACGCCCCAACGGGCGTAGCGGTGGATTCGAACGGAAACATCATTGTGGCCGACTGGGGAAACAGCAGGATCCAGGTAGATTAAAGTGCTGATTTATTTGTGTTGAGTGATTGGTACTTGTTAAAAATGGAGAATTAGCTGTCCTGAGATTGTAATGTTTTTCATTCTGAATTTGTTAGGGCATAAGACCACAGGTAATCTCACAAGGAGTGCCAAACTAAGGAAGGTGGAGTAGAAAAAATGTCAACTTATTACCAGAGTGAAACATCTAAATTGGGCCTTTTTAACATGTATCCCATAGGCCCTCATTTCAGGTAGAATTCATGAGGTCCATTACACAAAAATATTATATTATTGTTTTTACTAGCTTCTGGTTAAAATGATCATTTACTTTAATTTGAATACAGGCAACAATCACAGTAGTTTGTGTAATATCTATTACTTTGTCACCAAGAGAAGTCACAGAAATTTTCATATTACAGTTGCAAACATCTTGAATCATCATTTATGCTCATCACTACTTCAAAATTACAGTTATTATCAGCCACCCATCACAATTTCTTGTTATTTAATGTGTTGGTTAAAAAAGCACACATACTGCCCTGGCCCATTTGGCTCAATAGTTGGAGTGTCAGCCCGCAGACCAAAGGGTTTCTAGTTTGATTGCTGGTCAAGGGCACATACCTGGGTTGCAGGTTCGATCCCCAGCCCCAGTCAAGGTCACGCAGGAGACAACCAACAGATGTGTCTCTCTCACATCAATATTTCTCTCTCTCTCTCTTTCTCTCTCTCTCTCTCTCTCACTCCCCCTCCCTTCATTCCACTCTATCTAAAAATCAATGGAAAAATATCCTCAGGGAGGAACAACAACAAAAATAAAAAAGCACACATACTACTATAACCAAAATTTTGTAGAATTTTTATTGTATTTTAATGGTTGTTTTCCTTCATAATCCCATATATTTTGTTTTGTGCATTTCAAAACATTGTTCTACTGAGTCAAAGAGGAAATCTCAAGGAAAAATGTTAAAATATACTGAGTGAATGAAAATGCAAATATAGCATATCAAATTTTGTGGAATGCAGTGTAAACAGTCCTGAAAGGGAAATTTTCACCCCAGCTTTATTGAGATTGACACATAACATTGTGTAAGTTTATGGTGTGCAATGTGTTGATTTGATACTTGTATATTGTAAAATGATTACCACTGTAGCATTAGGTAACATCATCATCATATCACTGTCACATAATGACCGTTTCTTTGTTGTGGTGAGAACATTGAAATCTACTCTCTTGGCAACTTTCAAGTGCTTAATATAGTATTAACTATGATCACCATGCTGTATATTAAATCCTCAGAATTTACTCATCTTCTGACTGGACGTTTGTACCCTTTGATCAACTTCTTCCCACTCCCCCCACTCTACCTGAGAGGGAAATTAGTAGCACTAAATGCTTACATTAGAAAAAAGGGAAGTCTCAAATTAATAATCTAAGCTCCCACCTCAAGAAGACAGAAAACAAGGAGCAAAACAAAACAAACTGAAGCAAGCAGAAGGAAGGAAACAGTGAAGATAGGATCAGATCAGTGAAATTTAAGACAGAAAAACAATGAAGTTGGTTCTTTGGATAGATCAATAAAATTGACAAACCTCTAGCAAGACTGACAAACAAGAAAAAAGATACAAAACACTAATATCATACAGACCCTGAAGAAATCAAAAGGATAATAAGGAAATTCTATAAACAACTCTACACATATCAATTTGACAACTTAGATGAAATGGACCAGTTCCTCAAAATAAAATAAATGATTTATTTATTTACTTACTTATTTATCCTCACCTGAGGACATTTTTTTTTTTTTTTCGATATTTTGTTTAGATAGAGTGGGAGGGAGAGAGAGAGAGAGAAACATTGACGTGAAAGGGACACATCGAGTGGTTGCCACCCACGCAACCCAACCAGGGCCCAACCAAGGGCCAGAGACAAACTGCACCCGAGGTACGTGCCCTTAGCGGGAACCGAACCCGGGTCTCTCTGTACCGCAGGCCGACACTCTAACCGCTGAGCCGAACTGGCCAGGGCAAAATAAATGATTTAAATAGCCCCACACAGTTAAGGAAATTTTGTTCATAATTTTAAAACTCTCCCTAAATAAATCTCCAAATTCAGATGGTTTCACTTGTTTACCATCTCAGATGGTTACAAATGCTTAAAGATTTAGCATCAGTTCTACATAATTTCTTCCAGAAAATAGAATACATGGGAACACTTTACAGTTCACTTCCCAGCTTAGCTTTGATGCCCTGATCCCCAAACCAGACCAAGACAGCACAAAAAGCAAACTATAGACCACATTCCTCATAAATATAGATGCAAAATTACTTCACAAAAATTACCAAATAAAATTCAGCAGTATATAAAAATCTCTCCATGACCAAGTGGAGTTTATTCTAAAGGTGTATGTCTGTTTCAGTATTTGAAAATCCATAAAAGAAAAAAGTAAATTGGACTTCATCGAAATTAAAAATGTTCACCCTATGAGAGACTCTGTTAAGAGGATAAAAAGGTAAGCAATCGACTAGGAGAAAATATTTCTAAATTTCATATCTGACAAAAGACTTAGACCTAGAATATATGTATAAAGAGTCTCATAATTTACCAGTAAAAGAACCAAATAATCCAATTCAATGAGCAAAAGACATGGAGAGAAATTTTACCGAAGAGGATATAGCCATGAAAAGATGTTCCATATTACTAGACATGAACAGAGTGTAAATTAAGACCACAATGAGATATTACTACACACATATTAGAATAGCTAAAATGGAAAATATTGATAATGTCTAATTTGCATTATGCAAACTAGATCTCTTAGACATTGCTATTGGGGGATGTATAATGACAGTCAGTCTTAAAAGTAGTTTGGCAGTTTCTTTTAAAAAATTGAAAATATACTTACCATACAACCCAGCAGTTGCACTCCTGGGTATTTATCCCAGAAAAATGAGATGCATGTCCATACAAAGATGTGTACATTGTTATTAATAGAAACTTCGTTATATGCCAAAACTGACCATGACCAAGATGTTTTTTGACACATTAATGGCTAAACAAATTGATATATCTATACTATGGAATACTACTAAGCAGTAAAAAGGGAGAAACTAGTGATGTACTCAACAACTAAGATGCATCTCAGGGACATCATGCTGAGTGGGAAAAGCCACTGTCAAAAGATCACATACTGTATGATTCTGTTTATGTAACATTCTTGAAATGTTAAAATTACAGAGAGAGAAAACTGATTAATGGTTGGGAAGAGTTAGAGATAGTGGAGGAAGGGGAGTGGGTATGTGTATAGAGCAGCATGATCTCTGTGATGAGGGAATAGTTCTGTGTGTTGATTGTGGTGCTGGTTACATGAATCTCTACTTGTGATAAAATGATATACAACTGTACACACACACATCCCAATGTCAGTGTGCTGAGTTTGCCATTGGGAGAAACTTGGTAAAGGGCACACAGGCTCCCTCTTTACTCTCTTTGTAGCTTCCTGTGAATCTATAATTATTTCAAAATTAAAAGTTAACAAAAACAAATTTAAAAGAAAAATAGTAATTTAAATATAATTTCACGATTGCAGGATAATATGGCATTTGGCATTTTGATTGGGTTTAAAAAATAATAAAACCGGTTACAATCTGGAAAAAAATAACACTAAAATACTATTTTGAGATTGCATAGTCTTCGTCAGACTGCCAAAGGGGTCCATGATACAAAAGTTTTTGATTTTTTTCTAAATTAAGAATAAAGCCGTTAAATCTTCAAACTGAAAAAGACTATTCTTTTCTACCATTTCTCAGAGTAGACACATATCTAAACATGCATTTACAGGCAGTGCTGTGCATCCTTGCTGGGTAGCCTGTGCGGCGCACGTGAGAACCCACACTGCACTGGTTAAACCTAGTATCACTCAGATCCTCTGTAAGGACAGCAATGGTCAGCAGTTTGAATCTGACACAGGTATCCACTCACAGTAAAAAGGCTGAGACTGTAAATGTAACAATAAATGGTTTTATTTCTGGAATGTATTTGTCTCACTCAGTTATCCCAGCAGGCACCTACATTTGAAAGAGGCATGCCATGTCTGATGAGAAGACAGAAACCAGACAGGGAACCAAGTTCACAAAGCAGTTCTGTGTAGGACTATGGACGCTGAGCTGTGTTGTGACCTTGTAACAGCTGCCTAGTTACACTACCTTTTAGAACACCTGGTGGGCCAAACAGAATGGTCAAAAGCAACCAGCCAGGGCCTTCTGAAGAAGTATTTCTCGTCCTTCTACTTCATCATAGCAGAAGCTTACAGACCAAAAGAAGACCACTTCATATCCACATGTACTGTTGACTTCTTTTTTTTTTTTTATCCTCACCCGAGGACATTTTTCCATTTTTTGTACAGACAGAGTGGGAGGGAGAGAGAGGGAAACATCGATGTGAAAGGGACACATCAAGTGGCTGCCACCCGCATGACCAACCAGGGCCGGGGACAAACTGCAACCGAGGTACATGCCCTTAGCGGGAACCGAACCCGGGTCTCTCCGAACCGGAGGTGGACGCTCTAACCGCTGAACCAAACTGGCCAGGGCCTGTTGACTTCTTATAATTTACTCTTCTGAAAAGGAAAAAAATCTCTATTTCTCATCACATAGTATGACTCAGGACCATTCTTCTGGGATCTAGTTGCTGATTTTTCTCACTTATGATAGAGGATAAAAGGGGGATGTCAGGCTAGAGGGGGAAAAAGCGAAGCTTTAGAGTGAGAAGTCATTCGTTTTTCAAGCACCATCCAGGGCATTCTCAGATATGACCACTGTAAGAATATAAGTGTGATCTGGTGGCCAATGGCATGTTCTTTGTCAGTGACTCTGAGAGAGAGGAGAAAAAGCAAGGTAAGTGGAGGGAGGGATTATATATTTGATTCGATTATATATTTGATAGATTATATATTTGAAAAAACTCACACGCTCTTATATTAAAAACATTAGCACCAAGAGTTTTCTAACTCCTCTATTTCATCCTATTACTATAACTTTTCCTATAACTGTATATCTTGACAGGTTTTTGATGGAAGTGGATCTTTTTTATCCTACATTAACACATCCGCTGATCCGCTCTACGGTCCCCAAGGCCTGGCCCTGACTTCAGACGGCCACGTTGTGGTTGCAGACTCTGGGAACCACTGTTTCAAGGTCTATCGGTACTTACAGTAACGGCTGGCAGCTGGACAACCCCTAACAAAGGTCTTGCACTATAAACTGGAATGGATTTCTCAGCGCGGGACCAGATTATACTAGACTTTTCATGCTAGAAGGAATCATTGGTGGACTTTTCCAAGGTTATTTCTGAATGTAACGGTTTCCTTAAAAACTACATCTGATTTCTGTAATTGACCTTTAGGGTTAAAAAAAAAAAATCCCTTCTACTGAATCTATAAAAACTGCAAAGTTTTACACCTGTGAACTATGGCTTATAGGACAGGGATTTATGTAGTTAATTGTGCAAATCAAATGAGCATTCAAAAACACCTAGAATATTTAAAGGTGTTTGTTAGTCCTGTGAATGGTAGCCTTTGCTCAGAGCTTCCAAAAACAAAACAACACAAAAACAAAACCTGTTGTGGTTATATACTTTAACCTCGGTCACAAGACCTAGGGGAGCTTCTAACCTCACTTTTAAACTAGTTATTGTTCTTGTGACATTTTTTGGTTATCAAGAACTATATATAAATTACTTTAGGGAAAAAAATAAGACTGTCTTGCAAAATCCTCTCATCTGTGATTAGCAGGCCTCTGAGGTTAGCACTTAAAAATAAATGTAAATTTTCCATCTTTCCTGGGTTAGATCAAAGATCTTTTTTTTTTTTTTTTTTTTTTTTAGTGTTGTTTTCACCTTTTCTCTCCTCCTCACCTTGTATCAAAAAACAAAGTACATTTTCAGGGAAACCTGAAATCCTTAATGCTTTGAAAAGCATATTACAGTAGTAATGCTACCTGTTGGTAAACAGACAGCCCATCTCCAGATCAATGCACTGGAATGTAATCAAGAAAAACTTAGTCATGTTTTATGTGCCATGTTCTCACATATGTCTCTCTTCTTCCACTTCATGAAAGCGAAAGCTTTAACCTCCTGCAAAATGTCAGCACATGTAGTAGGACACCAGTATCCTAGGACAGAGAGCCATAAGTAGCCCTTTGGAGGACGGATGGTGTCAACCAAAGGCATGTGATTGAGTAATGGTTTCCCCTTAGAAAGCAGTGTTACCAAAGTTGTGAAAGCATTACAGGTATGGGCATGTTATGGTTATTTATCATTGTCTAATGAATAGTAGAGGCATTAAAGGACTATGTATACATGATTAGGGTAAGGTAGAATGTATCATATATATCTATATATATAGCTGAATCTTTGGTGTATTGAAATAGGCAGCACTCTGAAATACGGAAGCATCGTACAGCCTTTCTTCAGCACATTCCTTTACAGAGCAGCTTCAAGCCGTCCTAGCAGAACAAGCCCTAAAGCAGATTTAATTTTTGCCATTTTCCAGGAATGATGGTATCGGCTGACTTTGCATCAGAAAATGGTCTTCTGGTCTTTCCAAAAAACAAAAACAGGTCAAAAAAGAAAAGTTGAACTTAAATTACATTTAAACAAAGTATAAATGCATTTTGAGAAACGGTGAGAATAATTTCGTCACTCATTAATTGGTAATGTAAAATAAAATGTGGTTCACTTTCATGGTTTAACTTTCTACTCAGTTCTACCAAATAGGATGCCATGTTTGGCATTTTCGATAAAGACTTTGGGATCTTTTTCACTGAAAGCACCTTAGAACTGTACTATAAGAAAACACTTCCCATATGTATAATTATATGAATGTGATGTTTACTGTTTATTAATTTATAATCTAGTCACTCTCTTATATAGGACATTTTAAAATTTAGCACAGAAATCTAGCTACTTCCAGTTGTCTATCAAATTTATGCCCAAATAAACCTCTGAAAAAAATTTTTGTTCAGAAAGATATACATTTAGATTTAGTACTTTTTTAGTTAGGTAGAGTTTTCAAAATCCTGAGATCGTCTGTGATAAAGTTATAAAATTTAATAACATTTTTAGAATGTTATGACTCTATTTCCTGGCATTAGTGGAATAAGTCTTTGAATTGAAACCTTCATATTTAATGAGTGCCTGCTAGGAGGCAGGTACTGTTCTAGGCACTGGGGACATAGTGATGGAGGAAACAGGCAAAATTCCTGCCCCCTTGGAGCTTACACTCTAGGGAGGCAATTTCATTTTGCCCTTTATTAGTATTCTACATAAAAGATAAGCTAGACTTCTGATAGCTCCTAGACTATTTAAAAGAAAACTTTTTAAATTGGTTAAATTAATTTTGGTTTATTTTCACAAGTAAAAATGGCTTTCTATTTAGATTCTGTCACAGGCTATTGATCTTAAATTAAGACTAGTTTAATTAAAGAGTTTTTTTTTTCTCTCACAACATTTAAATTGTATATGTGAATTTAGAAATTAACCAGCTATCATACCGTATAAGGCTGAATATCTCAGTTAGTAGATTGAAGACAAAGCTAATTTTTTTACATATCAATTTTGGTACTGGAATGAAAGAAAAGATACTTTGATTCAGACCTGTTTATCTGTTACTAAAACACATGCTATGGGCACTCCAGGAAACACTATATTTTTTCCCCCAAAATATGTAATCATATATGTTAAAATATAAATAACGTTTCATATTTGGATACATATGTGCATTTACTGTATTTCTTGGTAAGCATATTTTAGGGGGAAAAGTGCTGCTAAGGTACGAATAGACAAGATTTAAGTGAAATTTTGTCACATTCTATGGAAAATGGTTTCTGGTAAACTGAAAAGGATATTAAAATAGGTGACTTTTTTTCTGGGCTACCATTGTTGCTTGATTTCTCTTTGTCAAATGTACAGAACCTGTCATACATTCATGATAAGTAGCACTGAAAAATTACCCAAATTTCCCCTGGGCACTATATAAAGGTCAGTGACAATGTGTTCCCTCCCAGAACAGACCTCCCCTGCTGGACACGGGGTGGTAAAGATCACTTGACCGTTCAGAAACACATGAATAAAAAGCCTTTATGACTTTGCCATTTTTTAATGGTACTTAGTATTTTGATCAAACTTTCATCTCCAGTAACTAAACAGGTCCCCAAGTTTCCTTATTTTCATTTATTCTTTGACTAGATTTGAGGCAAATAAATACTACAGGTCCATGAAACTAGAACACACTTGCTTCTACTACTAAATATACAGGGTATGTCCTAACATGGAGTTAACTGGAATAGCAGTACACTAGCAAGTGACCGTGGATCCTTAACATGAAAGGGTTCACATAAATGCTTTGGTAATACCTACTGAGTTCATTGGAGGGAATGCCAAGTAAACATCAGGTCATCTGCAGATTGCTTCAAATGGGAAAAACCTTTTGTACATTTGGACTCTACAGCATCCTCTCTATTCACCAGCTTGTGAAAAGGGAGGAGTATTTTTAGTTTAATAATTTTTAAAAAGACATTTCCAGGTAGGATAAAATTAAAGCTATTTGCTGCAAACATTATCTAATTTTGCTTAAAACCGAAAGTTGTAATACTGTTGCATTCTGTAAACGTTGCAGGGTTTTAAATTTTACAATTATTTTAATATTTTTGATAACTAGGAATCTAGTATTGCCATAAAGGAACTAAGTGCCCATTAAAGATTTGTTTGGTATAAATAAATAATCTTTTGTTTGTTTTAAATGACAGTAAGCTACAAATCATGGTGTTAACCTTAAACTTTCTGAAGTTGAATTGTGTGGCAGTGATTGTGTGGTTTGTTTGTGGAGAACGTATGAAAGCTATTAATATTCTAAAATTGATTAATAAATTGGCTATGTTATTCCGATGAATGTACAGCATTTCCATTAACCTTTGAAAGCAGCACAGCCTTAAACTCAATGCTTTTGCTTTATGACATGGAATGTTTTGTCGTCGACAGCAGTTCTTGTAATAGAATTCTTTATATCATTCTCAATTCTATAGCCTTTCAATCCTATGTATGAGTATAAAGATTGTTTGCTTCTTTTTCTTTCTTTTTAAATTTTGTACATTCCATCTTTATAGGTCTGTTTCATACATTTTGTGTATAAAACACTAAGCCTTGCGCTCTCTGAGGTTGATTCTGTTTGATATACTCCCATTTGTTCTTTTATGAATCAAAATGCTGACTGCCTATTTAAAGAAAAGAATAAACGCTGTGCATCAAAGTGTTTGTATGTTCGTAGCTACATACGTACCACAGTATTTTGGATGCTTTAGTCTACAATAAAACTCTAATTCTGTCTTGAAACAGGAGAAACAAGATTTATGTGTATTATCTTTACCATGCACAAAATCTCAAATCTCAAATCATTATAATAAAGCTTGTTTTCTCCGTTTCCAAGGTGAATATTTATTTATTTACCACAGTCTCTTTTATAGAGAAGGAAAATTAAGGAATGTTCTACAATTTGTGGAAGGTAGCAATCCCTCAACCGAACTTGATACTAGTGAGAAGGTCCCGCCCCACCTCGTCCGGCCTCTCGGCGGGGCCGCCAGGGGTCGCTGCGCGCCGTCGGGGCGAAGGTCGGTCTCCTACTCCGGCCCTTTGTTGCTCCGCCCCCGGGGCGGGGTTGGCGCCAAAATCAAACCCTCCTTAGCGCGCCCCGCCCCCGCCCCCTGCGCCGGCCCCGCCGCCGGAAGACGCGCCACCTGCGCCATGGTAAGCGTGGAGGCCGGGCTCCCCACTCCCCTTTCTCCCTCGTCTACGATTGCAGCGATCCCGGCCCCGGCGGGCTTCGGGGGCGGGTACTCGGCCCGGGCCTCACACCGAGGGCCCGCTAGGTCGACGCCCCGGCCCCCCTGCACTTTCCGGGCGCGGCGGGGCGGCCCTGCGCTCGCGCCGCCCACCGGCCGCCGCCCCAGCTGGAGGCTGAGGCGCAGCGCGGGGACCGCCGCCCCCTGCACCCTTGGGCCGCGGAGGGGGACGCGCCTCCTCCCCGCCCTCCTGCACCCCGCGGCGGCCCCCCGGGCGGTTCGGGAGCCTGCCCGGGTATGTCAGGCTCGGCCATCGGTCCGGGAGGCCGCGAGCCCCTTCGGCGCCTGTATCCGGCCCCGGCCCCGGCCCCGGCCCCGGCCCCGGCCCCCGCACGTGCAGCCCTGGTTACAGAACCGGGAAGGATGTCCGCGCGGCGGGCGGGAGCCTGGCTCCCACCGGGCTCTCGAGATTTTTGACAGTGCAGTGGTTTTATGCATCGCGACGGGTAGCGCACGATGCTGCACTGCTCACGCTTCAGAAGTTACCCAGGGGATCCTCGCCTTGCGCCTTCAGTCTGCCATAAACCCTCGGCTCCGAAAAGCTTGGCGTCCACCCCCCGAAGGGCAGGTCTCTGCCCCTTTGTGCCGCGGACTGCTGGCTGGGAGGGAGTTGGTCGCTTTATTAGGAATTTAATGTCTTTGTGGTCATCACATCATTTTCATAAACATTCAAAGACTCATGCTATAATTTTTCTGCTTCTGTTGGCAGAAAATCGACATCTAATTAAATGAATCTAACATTTTAATATCTTAATTTAGTTAAGTGGCCGTTATCTTGCGGAGCTAATGGTAGACAAAGAGTTAGGTTGTTCGGTGTTTATTTGAAGATACTTGGCCAGATGTAATTATAACTGATAACGGCCCCTTTGTGGTTAAACTACCATCCCAGCCACCTGGGCATGAAATTATGTAAGAAGAAGCCAAGCAGGACCACACCTAAATCTGTTACCAGGGCTCTCTGATATGTTTGTCTTTATTGAGTTATTGGCCTAATATAACTGACTACTGATAACTATCACAAATGCATTAATCTCTCTGCTCATAAGTCACTTGATATTTAATGGTTTAAGGTGCTCTTTTCAGATGCTTCTGCTAACGGAGACACGTGAAACAAATTAGAAAAGTTTTTGTAAGCTATATACTTCTTTTTTTTTAAATTAATGATTAAAAAAACAAGTTTAGTATTCTGTTGATGAAAGATAACTTTCGTTCTCTTTCTTCATTGTGAATTAACCAACTGTTTTGATTTGGTTGGGCTTGCTGAGTACACAGTTAAGTCCAGGCATATGTTGGGAAGTGGAGAAATGCAATGTAGCCTGTGACCCCTGCAGACATCGTCTACTTTCAGTTTTGCAGAATTTTATTGTTATTGATCAACAGGGCTGACTTTAGGAATTCTGTAACTCCTAATTGAAGAGGATTCCTTTGTTATCCTCAAGTCAAATTTTGACTCCCCTTACTTACTAATTTGAATGCATCTCTAACTTATACCATCAGATTTTCTTTAATTTTAAGTATTAAGTGGCTCTTGTTCATTGTTTTTAAAGAAATTTCTGACTGTGGATTATTATGGTATCTTTTCACATTAGTTATTTTGTTGTATTTTAAATTTTATTATTTTAGAGAGAGAGGGAGAAAGAGAAACATCAATTTGTTATGCACTCATTAGGGTTGCTTCTTCCATGTGCTCTGACCTGGATGGAACCACAACTTTGGTGTCAGGACAGTGCTGTAACCAACCAACCTATTCCACTAATTCTGGCCATGATGTTCTCCTACTGTGGTTAATAGTAAAAAACAATCTGTTGTCATGAGAGACTGATGAATAAATTAGCCTGGAAGCAATGTAAATGGATAATACAGCTCATCCTTAGTTCTTAAGTAACTTTCATAGCTGCTGAGCTGAGTGATAAGAGCTTTCCTAAAACTGCCCCCAGTACACTAGATTCTCTTCCTTGCCAACCTCTGGGCCGCAGATTCTTGGATAGTCTTGGATGCTCTCTCTGAGGAGCTGTTTATAATACTGACATTAGGAGCCTTACTAAAGCTTTGGATCTGTTTTTCGCTGAGGCAGCCACAGACTAAAGACCTAAAGGGGTTCTCCCTGCTCCACAAGTGCCCCTGACATGGCCTCTAGATAGAAAAGCAGTGTTCTTAATCCTAGGGCACAATTAAAGTACCTGGGGGAAAAACTTTTAAAAAAGCATGCCCAGGCTGAGGCCCCATCTCAGATTCTGATTCATTTCATGTGGGATGTGCCTGGACATCAGTATTTTTGAAAGCCCCTGAGGTGATTCTAATGGCAGTTGCAGATCCAGTGGAGGAGCCTTCTACCTGAGTGTGAATTTCATGCTTGGTTTTTTCAGTTACAGCAGAGGCCAACGTGAATAGGTCTACTGAGGTTTTTCTGATGTACCTCTCCAAGCCAAGCAATAAATGGTCATCACAGAATTTCTTCTTATTTCATCCTGTATTATATTTATGGGAGTCTAGAGGGTGTTGTGGGGTTTGAGAGCCTGAACAGCTTCACATTTTAGGGTGGAGGGTTTTAGATACATGGTCCTGAAATTAAGGCCTGGCCTTTATGTCTGCTCTGTCTAACCTGGCACTAAGCTCTGGGAAGGCAAAGGCAGTTCATGTTCTGAAGGTTTTCAGTTCACTAAGAGAAATGAGTAAACACATCTTTTTAACTAGTAAGCTATTTGATGAAGGTGTGTTCTGGGAACACATGGGATGACACTCAGCCTAGCCTGTGAGCTCAGGGACGTTCTTTTAAATATCTTTTTAAAAAATTTTTTTCTTTATTGATTTTAGAGGGAGAAGAAGGGAGAGGGAGAGAGACAGAGAAACACTGATGAGAGAGAACATTGATTGGCTGCCTCCTGCATGCCCCCCCCCCATTGGTGATCGGGCCCACAAACTGGGCATGTGCCCTGACCAGGAGTCAAACCGGGGACCTCTTGGTGCATGGGTCAACGCTCAACCACTGAGCCACACTGGCCAGGCTCAGGGACATTCATTTAGAGAATGCCCAAATGAAGCTTTGGGAGACTTTGAAGTTTTGAGTAGGTAAGAGGAGAAGGTGTTTTAGGTAGAACAACATTTTTAAAGGCACAGAAATGGGAAAGAACATTCTGCGAGTGGAGAAGTACAAGTAGTTTTGTATTACAGCTCAAATAGCTTAGCTCTCTATGTGTTTATGGTAAAATTTAAGGTGGGGAGTGGTGCCTGTGACAGTAGATTGGGATCAGGTGATAGAGGGCCTTTGCGTTTCATTCCTATGGTATTGTATACTCCTGGATGGTTGGGAGCCATTGAAGGCTTTTGACAGTGCAGAATGTGAACTTCGAGGGTGAGACAAAGAGTGTTTAGGGGACTGCAGCTATGTTGCAGGAGACAGATAATGAAGGCCCGAATTGAGGTAGAGGTGAACGGAATGGAGCAGACAAATAGATTTGTGAAATTGGCAGAAGTTGTGATTTGTTGGATGTGGAGTAATGAAGAAACTAGGATGACTGCCAGACCTCTGCTCTGGCTTGGTGACAAGGTGGTATCTGGTATCTAACTGAACTCCAGATCTAGAACAGCAAGTTTGGGAGTGGACATGGGGGAGGAGTTCAGTTCAGACCTCCTGAGTTTGAAGTCTGTCCAGCAGGCAGGTAGATACAGGAGACCGAAGCTCAGGAACACACTCCAGGACTCATGTAAAGATTTGAGGACTCAGTGTGTTAGTTAAAACCATGAAAGCAGATGAGGTCAAAGAAAAGGTGTGAGGAGAAGAGGGCATCAATAGATACCCTGGCCCTGGCCGGTTTGGCTCAGCAGTAGAGCGTCGACCTGTGGACCAGTGAGTCTCAGGTTCAATTCCAGGCAAAGGCCCTGGTCGGGGTCATGGGGGAGGCAACCAGTCGATGTTCTCTCTCCCTTTCTCTCCCTCTCTCTCCTTCCCACTCTATCTAAAGGTAAATAGAAAAGTATCCTCGGGTGAGGATTAAAAAATAAATAAATAAATAAATAATCAATCTAAAATAGAGAACCCTGGGAAACTGAAGTGTTTGAGAGTAGACAGAGGAAAAAGAGAAAAATATAAACTTTAAGCCTACTTATTTTACCCATGTGACTCATTAAGGAACACAAGATAATTTTATGATTGTGATGAGTTGGTGGGTTTCTAGGATCTGCAATAGAACATACTCAGGTACATATTCAGAATGGCAATTCCAAATCCCTCCCCCCATGTGTCATGACCTCTCATTTTCTGATGAAGTTTTTGGATGGATAGGGTCAGTCTTTAATTGTTGTTTTATTTATCTGCTTTTTAAGTGGTATAAAGCATTTTAAAGTTATTTTTTTATGTGCAATGTTTCAGAAAGAGGCTCTTTCTTAAGAAATACTAATGCGGAATCCTCTGTTAGACCACTAGAGATGATGGTTCTCATTCTCTTTTGTTATTTTCTGTGAATCTTTGCATTGAGGAAATTTGGCTTTTTTTTTTTTTTTTACTTTTTTTTTTTTTTACCGTATATACAATATATAGTAAAATTTATTATTAACATACATTTTAGTTATTTATTATCTTAATTTCAAGTTGGCTAAAAGACAGTAACCTGAAGTAGGCTCCATAATCTACTTGGGTAGGTTTTTCTTCCTCCAGCTCAGCCTCCACAATGCTACTACAACTATCTTACTAAAATGTAATTCTAATCTTGTCACTCCCTGCTTTAGAAATTGTGCAGTAGCTGCTCATTGCCTAGAATAAAGTCGTCTCTCTTCCATCATCGGACCCCAGACAACCTTTCTCACCTTGCCTGTCACTTCTTGTACATGTGCCATACAGTCATCATCCACAGTTTTTCTGGAGCATTCCGGGTTCTTCCATAACATCGTGCCTGTGTGTGGTCTGCCCAGGACACCTTTCTCATCATTTCTCAACTCACCAAAATCCTTCTCATCTCTGACTTTCTTAGCGAACTCTCCTCCCCCCACGGGGCGAAATTAATTCATTCTGATCTGGGTAGTAATTCATTCTGTTCTGGGTAATTTGTGCCTGTACCTGTTCATCAGTTATAAGTAGTTATATCTATTTATTGTCTTTGAGAGATTATAAGTCTTTTGAAGGTAAATACAGTGACTTATTACTGGATCATTTGCTAAATAATAAATTTATACAAAATGCCAGGCCCTGTCTCAGTCACAGTTTTTATTTTAGTGGCACATCTACCACAGGGCTTGGCTTGTAGTTGTAGAATAGTTAAAATCAGTCTTTAGGCCTGGCTCTGAGCATTATCAAACCTGTTCATATCAGGCAAAATCATGCATAAAATTTCTGATAATGTTTCAGACCAAGTTGTTTTAAAATGCAGTGTCTAAAAAAAACACAGTGTTTCCTTTTTAATTTTTGTACTTTAGTCGAAGAAAAAAGGACTGAGTGCAGAGGAAAAGAGAACCCGCATGATGGAAATTTTTTTTGAGACGGTAAGTCATTTTCCCTAAGGTTTTTAGTATTTTGTATACTTTTTTCTTATGTATATGTCATCCTGTATTAAATGTACCTTTTTTTTTTAGTCCTTACCCACGGATCTGCTTTTTAATTGATTTTAGAGAGAGGAAGGGAGAGGGAGAGAGCGAGAAAGAGAAACATCAATGTGAAAGTGAAATGTCGATTGGTTGCCTCCAGCACATGCCCCCCAACTGGGGATCCAACCTGCAGCCTGGGTATGTGCCCTGATCAGGAATTGAATGCACCACTTTTCTGCGTATGGGATGATACTCCAACCAATTGAGCCACACTGGCCAGGGCTTAACTGTACCTTTTTTTTTAGAGATTAATACTCACCAATTTCCTGAAGAATGAATGAAATTCTGCAAATATTTGTGGTGCTTGTGAGCTATGGTGTATGAAAGAATCTTATCCCAGTGTTCAAAGAGTCTCCTCTGTCCAGACTGTCCTACACACTAGACCCAGAATTATCTTTCTGAAGCATATATTTGATGTGTCCTCTTTCTGCCTGAAACTAATAATCAGAATAGCTCACATCTACAGAGTGCTTCCTAGGCTTTAATCATTTATCTGATTTCATCCTTATTAATCCTATGAGATCAATACTGTTGTTATCATCCTCATTCTACAGATCTGGACATCTGAGATGCAGCTTAACATACCAGCCCTGGATCTCAAAAAATAGAAGTGAAGTACTAGGATTCAAATCCAGGGAGGATCATCTGATTTTAAAGGCAGTGCTAAATACTGCTACTTTGCATTTATAAATCTATCGCTAGTGTAACACATATATGATAGTACATAGGCCTGCTTAATTTTTTCCAGCTCTTTGCCTGCCGAGAAAAATGATGCAATAGATGCAGTAAACACAAGATGTATAAGGTTATGCCAGCATAACACAGCATACTGTTTTATAGCAAAATTTTTATAAATAATAAGTACACTCTAAAATAATGGTAAAATGTACACTATAGTCAATACATAAACCAGTAACAGTCATTTACTATCATTATCAAGCATTATATACTGGACATAATTGTATGTGCTATACTTTTTTTTTTTTTCTTTATTGATTTTAGAGCAGAAGGGAGAGAGAGAGACAGATAGAAACAGATGAGAGAGAACATTGATTGACCACCTCCTGCATGCCACCCACTGGGATTTGGCCCACAACTTGGGCATGTGCTCTGATCAGGAATCAAACCGGCGACCTCTTGGTGTATGGGTTGGTGCTCAGCCACTGAGCCACTCGGGCCGGGCATTATGTGCTATACTTTTATACATCTGGCAACGCAGCAGACTTGTTTACACCTGCCTTTCCACAAACCCCTGCGTAACACTGCACTACAAGATGGCTAGCTACAGCGTCACTAGGTGACAGGAATTCTTTAGCTCCATTATAATCTTACGGCATGTTGACTGAAATGTCACTATGCAGTGCATGACTATAACTGTATTAATTGATTGATTTCAGCTTATATATTTCTATATATATATATTCATTTATATAAATACATACACGTAGATATTTGAAGTTGCTAATGTACTACAAAAAGAATTATTTGCCTATTACACTTAAGAAGAACATGGGAACAGTATAACTCAATGATAGAGAACTTGTATCTGAAGTCTGTTTCACCTAATAACTTTAAGGAAGTTATTAACCTAAGTCTCAGTTTCCTCATCTGCTAGGGAGGATGATAATTGTACTCAGCTCTCAGTGTTGGTATAAGAATTAAATGAGCCAGGCCAGTGTGGCTCAGTGGATTGAGTGTCATCCCATGGACTGAGAGGTCCTGGTTCTATTCCTGGTCAGGTCACATACCTGGGTTGCAGGATCCATCCCCAGTGGGGGGTGTGCAGGAGGAAACCAATCAGTGTTTCTCTTCTAACATCGATGTTTCTTTCTCCAAAAAAATCAATAAAAAACATATTTTAAAAAATAAGCATTAAATAAGATAGTCTGTTTAAAATATTACAATGCACAGATCCTAAGTGCTCAATTAAGAGTTATCTAGTGGTAGCTACACATAGTTTTTGTAAAGGACTGGAACCATTGTGTTCATATGTCCTTTATTATCTCTTTATAATGCTGAGGGGAACTAATATATATTCGAGATCATTTTTCTCTGTCCACTTACATGATCACGTTTTAGTTCTGAGGCTAATTCTTTGCAAGCTTATTTATTTACACAGCAACCCCACTGTGGCAGCTGATATGTTTGGGGCTCTTCCTTGATGACCACATATAGGCAGATGTCTCAATGAGTTCATGCCCTTTGTCCAGGATATCTGAAGTATTTGCAAATAGGTTTGATTAATTGATTTTTTTTAATGCATTAGAGACCTAAACCAATAAGTCATTGCATGTTCTCTGAGACCCTAAAGTATTATATTTAAACAGTTTATTCCAAGATGTGCAAAAATTGATTTCACACCCTGAGACCTGAGACTTAGCATTTTTCTTAATTTACTAAATCTTAAATGTAGTGCGATGAAGTTACTTTTTCCAACATTATGAAAGATTTTACAGTGATACCTATGTGTCCCCAACCTAGATTCCACCATTAACATTTTACTCTACTTACCTTATCATTTATATATTCATCTCTCCACTCTTGTATCCATCCGTCAATTTGTCTTTGGGGGTTGGGGAATGATACCCAGTACTTAGTCTTTTGTCAGGTAGATGTTTAGTGAATATTGTCCTCTGGTCAGTATTTGTCTTTTCAATGTCTTAATAGCACCCTTGGATGATCAAGTTTATTTTAGAATTAGATTCCAGATTTCCAGAAATTATCACAATAATTCTCTTCTAATTACTGAGTACTTCCATCTTAAATATTTCACTTTGGTTATCCAAGGTTTGTTCACCACTTTAACCAAGGCTTATTACAAAAAAGAAAGGATTAACCATAAGATTAACTATTCTACATGTATAGATTCCCGTAATGTTTTGTTTTGGTGGACACGCAATATGAAGAGATGAATGGTTGATAGGCAGCCATGAATATACAATTTTCCTATTATTTAAGTGTAGCTCTTCCATGAAACTAAATGTAAACAATTCTTGACAGCTGTCTGTTTTGCTTTTCGTTGGAACTGCTAAGTCTGTAACATATGATATATGCTAAGCAAAGTACTGTTTGTGTTTTCTTAAAATCAGTGTCGAAGAAGCTGGATTATCTCATGTTTACAAATTATTCATCTTAACTAGTTTTTACACTTCAGTGGGAAGGTGTTCTCCAGTTACTTTAAGATTTGTATGGTCATGCAAAACCTGTCCATTTTAACGTCTCTTGAAGGTATTGAACAAGGTAATTTCAGTTTCCTCTAGCTCCAAAATGCTTGATTTTATTGTATTGTTCATTTCCAGGCATAGTTTTTTAGTACAGTGTTTTACAAATAGAATTAAGTACAGTGTTTTACAAATAGAATTATTGTAAATATAAATATATAGTAGAAAATAAATACATGTTTTTCATCTCTTAAAAATTTTTTTTAAACAGAAAGATGTATTTCAATTAAAAGACATGGAGAAGATTGCTCCCAAAGAGAAAGGCATTAGTAAGTATCAAAGATGTGCTGGGATATTCAGGGAAATATCGGTCATCTTTTCTGCTAGTCTTTTACTTTATAGAAACATAAATTTCTAGAGATGAATGTTTGTGAAAGTCTGTACGTGATGTTTTTGGGCCACAGCCATGATTCCTGTGTTTAGAGTATCTGCTGTAGGAAAATTAAAATGGAATATGCATACATGCCCATGTACATACAAACACACATGTATGCATACGCACAAATATACACATTTATCTATTTATGGGTATAATTTACTTCAAAAGAAGTAAAAACTGTTAATGTGTGTTTTAATATTTGTTAAATGTGACTTTTTGTCTTTACGTGGTATATTAGTTTTCTCTAGCTGTATTAGTTTTCTATAGCAGCCAGTTACCACAAATTTGGTAGCTTAACACAATAGAAATGTATTCTCTCATAGTTCTGGAGACCAGAAGTCAAAAATCAAGGTGTCAACAGGGTTGACTCCTTCTGGGGGCTCTGAGGGGAATCCATTTCATGGTTCTGTCCTAGCTTCTGGTGGCTGCCAGCAGTGTGTGGCTTGTAGACACATCATTCTAATCTCTGCCTCTATCTTCATGTGGACTTGCCTTTGATTTCTCCCCTTCTGTCTTTTACGGGGACACATGTTGTTAATTTTGGGACCCATCTTAAATCCAGGATGATTTCATCCAGAAATCCTTAATTACATCTCTACAGATGCTTTTGCCAAATATAATCACATTCATAGGTTCTGGGGGTTATCTTTTGAGGGGGTCGTTGTTAAATCCACTATATAAGATACATATTTTTTAAAACCTTACTTTCTGATTACATAAATTACATGCTTATTTTAACAGATTCGGAAATTATAAAGAATATAATGAACCCTGGCCAGTTTTGCTCAGTGGTTAGAGCATCAGCCTGCGGTCCAGAGAGACCTGGGTTCGGTTCCTGCTAAGGGGACGTACTTCGGTTGCAGTTTTTCCCCAAACCTGGTTGGTCGTGCGGGTGGCAGCCACTCTATGTGTCCTTTTCACGTCAATGTCTCTCTCTCTCCCTCTTCCTCTCCCTCCCTCACGCTCTATCTGAATAAAAAAATGAAAAAATGTCCTCTGTTGAGGATTAAAAAAAAAGAATATAATGAAAATAAAAGTTTTTCATAATCCCTCTAGTCTGAGACCACCACTGTTAACACTTTGGTGAATTTGATGTCTTATTTTTAAGTTCTGTTTGTGTGTTTGTATCTGTCCATTTCTCTGAGAAGAAACTATGCTGCATCTAAAGTTTTGTGTTCATGTATTTTTTCATATAACATATAATCCACATGTACTTGTCATGTGCTTTTTAAAAAATGATGTACATCTGCATCTCCTAATGTTTAATTCTATCACTACCTACTGTGCCTTGATTTACTTAGCCCATTACATATTGCTGAACATCTAGTTGTTCCCAAATTTTGCTTCTAAAATTAATGCGTAATTAACATGCTATCCATAGATTCTTTTTCTAAAAGACTATTTTTTTAGAGCAGTTTTAGGTTCACAGAAAGATTGACAGGAAGGTGCAGGGATTTCTCACATACTTCCTGCCTTTCCCTGCTAACATGCATAGCTTCTGTTATCAACATCGCTCACCAGTGGTACATTTGTTACAATGGATGAACCTGCATTGATGCATCATAATCACCCAGAGTCCATAGTTTACATTAGGGTTCATTCTTGGTATTGTACATTCTGTGGGTTTGGACAAATATATAATGACACATCCATCATTATGGTATTATACAGAGTATTTTCACTGCCCTAAAAATCCTCTGTACTCTGCCGATTCACTCCTTCTTCTCCCCCTCATAAATTTTTTCCACATCTCATATTACTTCAGAAGGAAATGGAATATAAAATGGAGACTGTGTAGTCTTGGACTTTTTATATGTATTCTCAAATTACCTCAGGAAAGGTTATACCAAATTAAACTCTCATTCATTTCTCAGAACTGTGTTTTCGCTTTTAGAATTTTTTGACATTTCATTTCAGTTTGTACTTGTTTACAAGTGAGGTTAATGTTTTACATATTTGATGTCAATTTCATTTATTAAATCTTTAATTTTTAAACAGATTGTATTGTATTTGTGGATCTGCTCTAGGAAAAATCAAAATGGATATTAAAATAGGGATAATATTTTGGTACAGCTTTATTTAATAGAAAGTAAGAATTGTTCATGAATTTCAAACATTTGTGAAATATGACTTTGTATTTTTACATGCTATTTTTAAAAACATTTTTCTGATTTTTAAACTCACCCTTAACTTACCCTTAAATATCCAGTTTATTTCTTTATTTAGTGTTTATTTTTTCATAATAGTTTTATGTTAGTTTTCTTAAGGCAATACATGTTTATTGTTGGAAAAAGAAAAATGAGTAAAAAAGAAGGAAATGAAAATTGCCTCTTAACCAGTCATTCTAAGATAAGCACTGTCACATTAGTATATACTGTCTTTTAACTGTATTTTTGATATAATGCATTCTATATAATACATATTAAATGCATATATATAATGCCATTAAATATTTAATAACATAAATTTAATGATTGTATAGTATCCCATCAGTACTTTAAAAAGTCCAATCATTGGACTGGTTTTCAACTTTTTACTATTGAAAACAGTGCTTTGACAAGCATCCTTATGCATCTGCATCATTATTTCTTTGCATTTATAAAAGTGGGATTTCTACATAAAAATCATACATAAATCTAAAGCTTTAGATACATAAATCAAAAGCTGCTGTGTTTTCCATCCATGTTGAAAGTACCCATTTCCCTGAATCCTTTATAATATTTTTTAGTGTTTTTAATTTGGTAGTCATAGATCATATCCCATTGCTTTATTTTACATTTCTTTAATTATTAATGGAGTTGAACATTTTTCTTGTTTTTTGACCATGCATATTTTGTAGATGCCCATTGATATGCTTTTGTTTTTCTATTGTAGTATTTAGCTTTTTTGTTACTATTTTTTAAAGCTCCTTATTTATTAAATTATTAACTTGATCTATAATATTTCCCCAGTTTTTTACCTTTTAATCTTATTTATGATATATCATTAAAAATTATATCTTTTAGCTGCTATGTCAGTAAAAGAAGTTCTTCAAAGCTTAGTTGATGATGGTATGGTTGACTGTGAGAGGATTGGTACGTCTAATTATTACTGGGCTTTTCCAAGTAAAGCTCTTCACGCGAGGAAACGGAAGCTGGGGGTTCTGGAGTCTCAGGTAAGCCACCACAGTTAAAAATAATAGATTCGCTTTGTAAGAAAGACACTTGTTTTACTTAATCTTTTCATTTAGTGGTGTCTGTTAAATTTTTCATATACATTATTTGACTCAAAGCATAAAGATAATCAACATCTTTTTCTCCCAAATAATATGAGGACCTTGGAATGTTTTAACTTTCATCTTCTCACGTACCATGATACTGTTTTCTAGTATTTTAGTTCCTTTTAGATTTACAGAAAAACTGATGGGAAAGTACAGAGAGTTCTCTAATACTACCCCCTTCTCCCTACCAAATATACAGTCTCCCCTATTACCACATCTTATGGTAGTTTTTGTGTAGACATGCTTTTATTTCTTAGGAATTGCTGAGTCATATGATAACATTATTTTTAATTGTTTGAAGAACTTTCAGACTGTTTTCTAAAGCAGTAGCACTATTCTGCATTCCTACCAGCAGTATATGAAGGTTCCAATTTCATCACTTCCTCACCAAAACTTGTCACTACCTGACTTTTTGATTCTAGCCATCTTGGTGGGTATGAAGTGGTATCACATTAGTGTTTTGACCCTATCTCATTAGGGTTTCCCTTGCCCTAAAGACTAAGGATGTTGAACATCTTTTTATCTGTTTACTGACTATTTGTATAGTATCTTTTTTTTTTTTTCATCCTCACCTGAGGACATTTTTCCATTTTTTGTTTAGATAGAGCGGGAAGGAGAGAGAGGAAGAGAGAGAGAGAGAAACATCAACGTGAAAGGGACACATCAAGTGGCTGCCACCTGCACGACCCAACCAGGGCTGGGGATAAACTGCAACCGAGGTAGGTGCCCTTAGCGCGAACCGAACCTGGGTCTCCCTGGACCACAGGCCAACGCTCTAACTGCTGAGCAAAACCGGCCAGGGCTATATAGTATCTTTCTTAGAGACCTGTCAATTCAGATCCTTTGCCCATGTTTTATCTCTTAAACATGGTGCTGCTTTTTTTTTTTTCTGTGAGGAAACGACATACATATTCATAATTCAGAGATTTTTAAGTTATGCAATTAAAAACTTTATACCAGTTTATAAACTTTATTTAGGCTTTACTAGGTTTTCCAGTCTTCATGGGTTTTTGTTGTTGCTTTTCTCCTCTGGGCAGATTCCCTTGTCCTTCCTTTCTACTTAGCCAGTTCTAAACATTTCTCCTCAGAGACCTTCTTGAGCTCCCATAACGAGGATACATACTACAGATTTTCTCTTCTTTTAATGTTTCATATGTATACGTCTTATCTTTTTGATTACTTTTAAAAATAACTTTATTGAGGAATAATTGACATAGAAAAACTGTTCATATTTAAAGTTTATAAATTGATGTTTTGACATATAGATACATTCACGAAACTATTACCACAGTCAAGATAATGACTTCCCATGACATCAAAAAGTTTTTTCATTCCCCTTTTCAGTCTTTCTCTTCTGCCCTTCCCTGCTGTCTTCCCTTGCCCCCATCCCCAGGCAACTACTGATTTGCTTTCTGTCACTGTATTTGTTTATATTTCCTAGAGTTTTCTATAAATGGAATCATACAGTATGTACTCTTTTTCCTGGCTTTTACTCAGCATAATTAGCTTAAGATGTATCCATGTTGCTGTATGTATTAATCATTTGTTTTATTTTTTAATTTTTTTTATTTTCATGCGAGGACAACCCGAGGATTTTTTTTTTTTTTTTTTTCTCTTTATTGATCTTTAGAGACAGAGGAATAGGGGGGGATAGAAACACCGATGAGAGAGAACATCGACTGGCCACCTCCTGCATGCCCTCCACTGGGGATTGGGCCTACAACCTGGGCATGTACCCTGACCGGGAATCAAACTGGCAACCTCTTCATGTATGGATCAATGCTTAACCACTGAGCCACACCGGCCTGGCCAATCCAAGGACATTTTTGCATTTATCTTCAGATAGAGTGGGAGGAAGAGAGAGAGAGAAAAAAAAAACATTGGTGTGAGAGAGACACATTGACTGATTGCCCCCACACGACCCCAACCAGGGCCAGGGACAAACTGCAACCGAGGTACATGCCCTTAATGAGAACCAAACTGGGGTCTCTCTGGTTCGTGGGCCGACGCTCTAACCACTGAGCAAAACCGGCCTGGGCTAGTCATTCGTTTTAGTATCCCATTGTATGAATGTACAACAGTTTGTTTACCTGTTGATGGACGTTTGGGTTTTTTTGTTTGTTTGGGGTTATTAGAAATAAAGCTGCTATGAATATTCATATACAAGTCTTTCTCTAAATGTGTGTTTTCATTAATAATGGGTAAATAACCTCAGAATGGAATACTGGATTATACGGTAGGTATAGTTTACCTTTTTAAGAGATTGCCAAACTGTTTTCCATAGTGTTGTGCTGTTTTATATTCCCACTAGCTATGTATCAGAGTTCCAGTCCCTCTGCATTCTGATTAATACTTGGTATGATACCCATTTTAATAAGTATATAGTGATAGCTTGTGGTTTTGATTTCCATTTTCCTAGTGACTAATAATGTCCAGCGTCCTTATATGTGTTTATTTGTCATCCATATCTCTTCATTGATGGGGTGTCTATCCATCTTTTTGTCTTTAAAAAAATTGGGTTGTTTATTTGTATTATTGAGTTTGGACAGTTCTCTGTACTTTCTGGATATAAATCCTGTATCAGATAAATGCTTTCCAAATGTTTTTCTCCCAGTCTTTAGTTCATCTTTTTATTCTCTTAACTGTTTCAAAGAGCAAATGTATTTAATTTTGATGAAGTCTATTTTATCAATTTGTTTCTTAATGATGGTATTTCTGGTGTTAATATCTTACTTTCCTCCAGGCAATTATTCATGCCTAAAACTGGGGAAAACAGGTGCTATTAAGCATTTCTTGGTTGACTTCATAAGCCAGAGAAACTCTTTGACTTTGAGAAAAGTGGCCAAATATACACTTTTCATTTCTTTGCCTCTGGATTTAGCATAACCTCTACTTAGCAAGCAGAGGAGCTTGGCAAACATTAATAGAAACAAGCAGAGATTCTTGCTAGTGTGCTAGTACAGTGAATCTATTTTAAAAAGTGAGCATATTATTATTTATACTGAGTGATTGAGGAATAGGATGTTCTAATAGTTACTGTTAATAAACTCCTCTCCCTACAGTCTGAGAGTTGGCATCCAGTGTATTTGTATTTGGTGACACACTCCTCTCTTCCCACTCCTGTTCACAAGCTGGAGGTCAAAGCTTAATTCTACAACCTGCTCAGAAACCAGAGGTCAAGTCAGAGGCTAACGCACAGGCAGTGGATTTAATACCTTCTGTTCTAAGCAATCCAGAAGTAAATGAAGAGTGAGTTTTTTTTAATCCTCACCTGAGGATATTTTTCCATTTATCTTCAGATAGAGTGTGAGGGAGAGAGAGAGTGAAACACTGATGTGAGAGAGACACATCAACTGGCTGCCTCCCGCATGACCCCAACCAGGGCTGGGGACCAAACCGCAACCCAGGTACGTGCCATTAACCAGAATCGAACCCAAGACTCTGGTTGGTGGGCCAACGTTCTAACCACTGAGCCAAACTAGTCAAGTCAAAGAGTGAGATTTTGATATGTCATTTGTAAAACGTTGATAGTGCTTGGTATTTGCTATAAATTAAAAAAAAAATTGTCATTCCACTAATCTGAACCTACTTTATTTTTTCACTGAAATTTGAGAAGTCATGTCAATATCATACTATGCCCCTCAACCATGGTTCTGCAGATCACTTATGGAAAGATAGAAATCAGACTGAATTTAAATCACATTTCACTTACTATCAGATCTTGGGAAGGTTTCTTAAACTCTTTAAAGCCTCAGTTTTCCAATTTGTAAAAGAGAGATTATACTTACTTCAAAGGATTGTGGTACAGATGAAGTGACATGTGTAAAGGGCCTGGCGGAAGTAGGCACTTAGTATGTGGTGGCCACAGATTCAGCTAGATTAGTACTCATCCAGGATATACACTGTAAGTTTACTTGTTCAGTCAGAACAAATATTTGAGGGTCTACTATGTACAATACATTTTACCAGATCAGAAAAAAGTAGAATTCAAAATCCATGCTTGATAAGAAAGAACCTGCAACCTGTGCTGAAGCTAATATATATATATATGAAGAGCCAAGTGAAAAGTGTTATATGGCTAACTGCTGAATGAGTGGTAAAGATTAAAAATGTTGCAAGAGATGGTGGGATGTACATAAAGATAGAAGGCACTCAGTTAACATTGAATTGAGCCATCATCCAAATTCAAGGTTGCACTGAAGGATCAGTTTATTCAACACATTGCCAAAGTAAAATGTGAACTTCCTTTGAGTTTCTTGTTAATTACTTCCAGATTAGAGAGAGGGAGAACTCTTGATTCTCCCCACCCCCCACCCTGTCATTTTCTTCTTCAGTTCTGTCAGTGATTTCAATTACGTGTAGGAATGTATTCGTCTCTTGAGAATAGCCATTTTTGTAGTAGATCTGAAAATCAAATCGGGAAATTTTTTTTCCTCCCTTCCCTTTAGGTTGTATGTGTTGATCATTATTTATTTATTTATTTATTTTATCCTCACCCGAGGACATTTTTCCATTTTTTGTTCAGATAGAGCGGGAGGGAGAGAGAGGAAGAGAGAGAGAGAGAAACATCGATGTGAAGGGACACATCGAGTGGCTGCCACCCACACGACCAACCAGGGCCGGGGACAAACTGCAACCGAGGTACATGCCCTTAGCGGGAACCAAACCCGGGTCTCTCTGGACCTCAGGCCGCACTCCAACCGCTGAGCCAGACCAGCCAGGTCTGTGTTGATCATTATTAAAGACAGTCTAAAAAAAGCCTCAAGATCATAATATATGTTTCTCTTTAACATTTTCTCAGCTAGCAAACAAGCTATCAACTGTGTGTGCAAGTTCTTTGGGCAATATAAAAATAATAGAGCCCAGCCGGTGTGGCTTAGTGGTTGAGCATCGAC